TACAGTCAGGCCTGGATCAGGACCTGGGTTGGGACCTGCCAAGGTACAAGGGCTACCTCTTCAGGAAGGGAGCTTTTAAAATTCAGAGCACAGGTGTCTGTGGGCTCATTCCCATGTCCTTCAGATAGGTGACCTCTGCTCTCTCCCTGGTACCCCTGGACTTAAGTCTTGGTCCTATGCATATCTGTGAAGGGCTGGTGTCCATGTCCATGGGACCTTGAGCACCTCTAACCTGAGGGAGAGGGTTCCTTCCACCTACAGGGAGCCTAAGTTGACCTTATGGTGGGGCCCGAGCAGGCCCAGGCGTCACAGAGCAGGGCTTTCTCTGGTCGTCATCCAGGAACTGAAGGGGTTGGGGGCAGGGTAGGTCAGGATGAACTTACAGCTGCAGCTGGCGAGTGCGGAAGGCCCAGGGCAGGTCTGGTGTCTGCTCCAGGGCCTCTTCCCACTTTCTTCTCCCAGTGAAGCCAGATTTAAAGTTAGGTAGTTAGTGTAGTTAGGTAAATCGGGTCTGATATCCAGTGAAATCTAAAATGGAGGCCATGCTGAGAATGACTCAGGGAAAACAGGACAACTCATGGAATGTTTATGAAGTCCTGAAAAGGCCCTAGGCCAAAGTCCACCTCAAAGAAGTGTTAACCAACAGCCCCAACAGATTTGGAAATAGCCCATCCCAGAGAAGTGATAATCCCATCCCAAAAGGTGATAATTAGGCCCACCTGTGTCCCACCCCTTGGGCCTTCCAACCTACATTCCATCACTGAAGGAACTATAAAAAGGGGAGACAACTGCACTTCCACGGATTCCACCTTTTGGGTCCCCTTCTTCTTCCGGAAGAAGTCTTTTTCTTCTGTCCTTTAATAAATTTCTAATTTCTACTCTGACCTTGCCTCGGCGTGCTTCTTTGGTGTTATTCTTCAACATCGGGGAGCAAGAACTCGCCACCGGTCAACAGCGGTAACACCAGCTTCCTCCTCTCCCAGCCTCTGGGCGGCACAGGGCTGCCCTGTGACAGGGTCCCAAGAGGAGGGCCTGGGAACTTACCAGAGTCAGACTGAGGTGGACACTCTCCTATTGATTGTGAGGTTTCAAGGTGGTGACCATAGATGGCTTTGGGTTGCAAATATTCCAGGTTATTCAAAGCATTTGACCAACAACAATTTGCCTTGTGCATCCCATCGCTGAGGCTAAGGGGCCTTGGGGAGCCCAAGCCTGTCTTTTACTGCTCTGAGCAGCAGACTGCAGGCAGGTGGACCTAGGTTCACATCCTTCCTGCAGGACGCGCAGCAGGACCTGGGAAGTCACCTGTCTCTTCTCCAGGCTTCTGTCCCCTACCAATAAGGGCAGCTGTTGTTACCACTGTTGATCGGTGACGAGTCCTTGCTTCCCCAATGTTGAAGTATAACACCAGAGAAGTTTATTAAAGAACTGCAGAAATGACTTGTCCCAGAGGAAGAAGGGGACCCAAGAGGTGGAATCTGTGCAAGCTCAGTTGTCTCCCCTTTTTATAGCTAAAGTCTTTCCTGCATTCCTGTCACATTCCTGTCCTTTGTTCTGTTAAGGGTGGGGCACAGGTGGGCCAAAGGAGTAATCTGGGCAGGAAGAACTTTTGAGTCAGCATCTTCAAGTTTGCTGGGAGCTGTTTCATTAACACTTCTTTGGGATGGGCTCTGGGCCTTGGGAACATTGACATTCCATGAGTTGTCCTGCTTTTCCCGGACTTCATTAACATTCCAAGAGTTCTGCTTTTCCCGGAATTCATTCTCAACATGGCCTCCATTTTGGATCTTACTCGATATTAGACCCGATTTACCTAACTACACTGACTACCTAACTTTAAATCTGGCTTCACTGTCCAACCCCACAGGGTCTGTGAAAATACAAGGGGAGGGTGCACCGCAGGCCTTGGAATGTTAATGTCCCCAGGGGACCCCAGAGAAGGCCCAGGGATGCTGGTCTCTGAAGAGGGATCAGACACCATGCAGCACCGATGAGTGTCCATGGCAGCCTCTCAGTCTGCCTTCCTGCCTCCACAGAGGAAAGAGGCATTCGCTCACCAGCACAGGAGAGGCCCAGCGGAGCGCCCAGCAGAGGAAAACACCATGGGCCTGTTTCCTCTTGCCTCACAGATGGCCTCGAGCCATCTGTCTCCCTGATGGTTAGCCGTCCCATGGCCTCAAGAAGAGCAGCCACTGGGACTGTTCTCCTACCTGTGCAGCAAGCCCTGGGCGCCAGGTCATCTCTGGGCTTGGGGACACAAGCACCAGTTGCCTCCTTGTGGGGCAGCCTCCGGAAAGCTCTGCACACTTACCATGTAGGTTGCCCTTGACCTCTGGATGAGGACGAGGGTGCAGGGGAGTTTCTCTGCTGAGAGGTCTGAGTCCTGGGAGCACGCACGGCACCATCTGGAGCCAGCCTTGGGGTCCCAACCCTCAGAAGGACATTACCATGACTGAAGGGGTCTCAGGGCATGAAGGACATAGACCGGTGCTGCCACATGGGTAAGCACTGGAGGGCTTTCCCTCCCCTTCTGTGCAGCGCATGTCCCACAGGTCCTGACATGGAGGGGGGGTCCCACTAGCTTCCCTCTGAGTGACAATGGCAAGTCAAAGGCCTCGAGAGTCCTTGGGTTCCACTCAAAAAAAGTGGGTCTGCAGAGCTGGGTGGTGCAGGTGCGGGTGGTGAGGTGGAAGAGGATTCGGGCTCTGAACCTGGGCAGGGCTGTGCACATGGCCAGGCCTTGGGGTCTTGGGCCCGACAAGCCTGCTCTGACAAGGCCAGCTGCCCTCCTGCGCCCAGGGTGGGCTCCAGGAGGTCTGGGGGACAGAGGCCTGGGAGGATCCCCGGGGGAAAGTGCTGAGCCATGTCCAAGTCTCCAGCGAAGCCCCAGTGGGCGGGGTGATGCCTGTATGGTTCCACCCTCCTGAGGTGTGGGTGTCAACACACTGCCTCACCTGTCCCTGTGAGGGACCTGTCTGGCTTGCGAGGAGCACCTAGAGCACACTGCCTTGGTGTACTCGGGGTGTTGAGTGCTCTCCAGCGCCAGTGAGGGACCGAGTTCGGGGGAGGTGTCTGGCACTCAGTGGACACTTGCTCTTCTGGGCAGTGCCTGCCTGGCTTCCCTGAAACAGTGACAGTCCTGCACTGAGCCTGAGGTCACAGCCTCTGCTTCTGGGAGGGAGGGGCCGACCTTGGCATCCTGCAGGCACAGTGTGCAGGTGGGGCTGGGCAGGGGGTCAGACGGCACCCACCCTGACACATGTGCCCCCTCCGCTTCCCAATGCTTCTGCTCATCCCACTCTGCACCTCTGCAGGGCAGGGCTGTGGGGAAAGATGGCCATGTGGAGGGAGAGGAGGGTGCATCCAGCCTCAGGCCAGGGATGTGGGATGGCGGAGCTCGGCCCAGGTCACGCATCACACTGCTTCATAATCAGGCAAGAGAGAGCCCAGGCAGGGCAGGTGATCTGCCCAAGGCCACCCAGCCCAGCAGTGGAACTGCTGTCCGAGTCTTTCTGTTTGTTATCTGACAGCTACTGGCCTCAACTAGTTGGCCTGTTGTTTATGTCTGAGGATTTTGTTTCAGCTTTCTTTCTTATAGATGCCAGAATTGAGGCTTAATCAGGACTAGTATTCAATAGGGAATTGAAAATTTTACCCCAAAAGGATCAGTCTCAATAATTTCAACTGCAATATCAGATCAAAGCCCAGCTTCCAGCTGAGTGACCTTCTGTCACTTTGAGAGACTTTCCCTTTTATTTCTGGAGATTGCTGAGACAGTGAGTTGCAGACCGCCCACGCCTGCCGGGCCTCCCCCATTCCCAGAGGATCCCACTCCGCCAACGCCTGCCCGGAATGTGTCTTGTCTCCTTTTTCTGCATGCACCTCACGCAGGTGGGTGGCTCTCTGCTCAAGCCAGTTTTCTGTGTGATCTTGTGAAGCATCTTTGATGATGGAGAGGGGTGGTCTGAACCCGTGTTTCTCCCCCAGGAAGCCCCTGTCTCTTGGTCCTGGGTAGAGAAGCCCCCCAGTGCCAAGGAGGAGCATCTCAGAGGACGCATTGGCAGGGGGTGTCTGAGCCCAGAAGGATCTCTGGTGTCCTGCATGCTGCATCTGGGAATGGGTCTCCGCCCTTGAGAGATGGAGGGTGTGCTTTCTGGGGAGGGGACAATCACTGATGGCCAGGCAGGTAGTGCCTTCTGTCTGGAGAGCCTGTGAGCACAGAGGGAACCAGAAAGGTTTCCCTGATGCATTTGAACTCTAGCTCTTTCTTCAATGGGTGACCATGGCCAAGTCACTGGTAATGTGGGTGGACAGTCTACTCTCCTTCCTGAGAGTTGGCTCCTGCTGGGCGCAGTGCCTGGTGCGCTAAGTAGAGCTTCCACAGGACCGTGCCCAATGCAGTTCCCTTGGTCCACTGGGCTGCCCCACATTTACATCCCATAGTCCTAAGGCGGGGAAGTCCCAGATCCAGGCTGGATAGATCTGGAGTCTGGCAAGGACCAATGTCTTCCCTGTGTCCTCAAAGGGTGGAAGGGTGAGGGACTCTTAGGGGTCTCTGGCAGGGCTGCTGCTCCCACTCACGAGGGATCCTCCCTCACAGCCTAACCACTTCCCTAGGCCCCACTGCCCCCACTGCCCCCACTGCCGCCATGAGGTGGGGTTTCAGTGCTGGACCCCAGAGACACACACCGTCCAGTCCACCAGGCCTGGTTTGTGCCACCTGAGTCAGCTGCCATGTCATACTCTCCCTCTTAGGCCTGACGCATGACGGGTCCCCTGTGGATTCTTGTGCCTGGAGTCCTGCTTCCCTTGAACGGTCCTAGGGTGGAGTTGCTCATCCGTCCTCTGTGGTCACACAGGGTGGCTTTGCACTCTCCTCTGGTTTTGTGTGTCTGTCTTTCTCCGTGGCTCTGGAGGCTGGAGGTGATCTGGGCTGCTTCCCAACCTTCGTTTCCTGGAAACCTTGTTGCAGTTGACACTAATTCTTGTTTAAACCTTCAGTTGAATCCTCCAGTGGCCTTCCCTGCAAATTTCTTTTCCAGCTATATTTAATTATGAATTCAATTTTGAATAGTTGCAGAGATAATCACATTACCTGGATCATATTGGGTGAGTTGAGGTAATCTGTGCTTTTCAGGAAATTGGTCTGTTGTGTGTGAGCTGTGAAATCTGCACCAGCTGCTCAGTAGTGTTCTTTGTTCTTTTGGCACTTGCAGAATCTGTAATATGCATCCTGTTTTATTCCTAATAGTGGCAGATTGTTTCTTCTCTGTTTCTTCAATCTTGCTAAAATTTATCTAATTCATTGATCTTTTCAAAGAAACAACGGCTCTTTTCACAAACATGAAATCCTGTTGTACATTAAATGTACACAATTTTCATTTATTACTAATATCTGAATAAAGCTGTTCATTAATTCTTTTTTTCTATTTTTTTTCTGTTTACTATTTCATTGGTGCTTACTTTTTATTTCCTTCCTTCTTTTTGCTTTGGGGTTTGTGTTATGATTTGGAACAAGGGGTCCCTGTTAGTGCAGGAATGCTCCAAGGGGAGATGATTGTACTGTGAGAGCTGCCGCCTTACATCCTGGTTTGAATGGACTGACTGAGCAGTGACGGTGGGCTGGGGCTGGAGGAGGTGGATCATGGGGGGCTGCCCTGGAGGGGCCATCTTCCCTGTGGCTTAGTCCCCATCTGTCTCTCTGCTGCCTGACCCCACCATGAGCTGAGCAGTTTCCCTCTGCTGGGACCTGCCCCAAGATGTTCAGCCTCACCTTGGCCCAGAGCGATGGAGTTGCTCATCTATGGACTGAGACCTCAGAGACCACGAGTCCCCAAAAAACTTTTGCTCCTCCACATTGTTGTTGTCAGTATTTTGTACTGAGGAGTGGGGCTGTTGTTGTCACTAACCTGACCCTGTGGTTCAGAAGCCTTTGGAGCTGGCTTTTGGGAGGCATTTTAGAGAGTTTAGAGGTGCAAGCTGGGAAGCTGTAGAGCTACTGGGTGGAGCTTCCTGGGTGATCCTGGGGGTGCTCAGAGGACTGGAATGGTGATATGGACATGGACTGTGCTCATGAGGCATGAAAGGAAGACGAAGACTCCACTGGAAATTGGACCAAAGGCCACTGGGGTCAAATGCTGGCAAAGAGCTTGTCTACATGTTCCCACATCCTGAGACTTTCTGTGAGGCTGAGTTTAAAAATGAGGGACTAGTTAATCTGGTAGAGGGATTTCAAGACAACACCGTGCTTAGTCAGAAGCATGGATGTCTCTGGCAGTTTAGCAGGTTCACTGTGAGAGACATGAGCAGAAAGTGGAGAGAAAGGATTTAAAAAAAATTGCAGTTTGGTCAGAAAAGGGCGTGTAAAGCTGGGACCAAGGCACAGGCAGCCTGGGTCACAGAGCATCTTTGTTACCTCTGTTCTCATTCTCACCACCCTGGAGAGGCACTGAGTCTCAGGAATGAGAGACTCAAGGTGTCAAATAGGGCATGACACACCAGGAGCCCCGACTCTGGGTCCGGCTGGTCCCAGGCGGCTCCAGGACAGAGCATAGCTCCTGAAATCCTACTCTGAACCCTGAGAGGAACCAACTGTCTTTCATGTAAGATGAGTTAGAAGCTTGAGGGCTCCATTCAGGCTGTGACCCCAACAGCTGGGAGCCAGCGTGGGAGCCATCACCTCTCTGCATTTTAGATTGACCAGCTCCTGGAAGGAAGGTAAATGTTACAGGAATCAGGGTATTCCAGACCCTGGGAGGAGCAGAAGTGCCCTGGGGCTGGGCCTCTAGCTGGGAGCCTGATTACTGCAACTCCCCACTGGACAGATGGACAGACGTGTCAGGGAGGCTGCTGTGAAGTTTGTGTTATTGAAACAACATTTTTCCTGTTTGAAGGCCATTTGAGAGAGAGAAAGGGAAGAAGGATAGGGAAAAGGGGATCCATAATTCATTCGCACGGGATCTGGAACTCCTTCCTACGGATCAGACTTAGGTTCAGCCTGTAAAACTGTCTCATCAACTGGAGAGGTTTTTCTGGCGTGGAAAAGCTGGGCCTCCTGGGAAGCGCCCGGGAAGCCGGAGCCAATTAGGAGGGTTAGTGTGGTTCCCGCACCCCTCTGCAGTTGGAGGGGGCCAAAAGGAGTGGACCTGCCGGAATTGGGTGTTCTGAATAATTCAGGAGCCAGCACGAGGTGGAGACCCATGTGGAAAAGTGGAGGGGTTGTTTTAGAAGCCAGGTACTCCGCTCAGCTCCTCCCTTCCCCTCTGGAGCCTGAGCCACACCTTGGAATGTGGAGAAGGTCAGACCAGCGTCCTGTCAGCAATGCTGGGGCCTTGGTGGTCCTCCCCTTGGAATGTGAGCTGTACACCCCTGGAAACTTTGCTGCCCAGCCTGCCCCTGCCGTGGGCCCTTTCTGACTGTCCTTCCTCCACTGGACCCTTGGGCCGAGCTCACGGGACGCCTCATTCTCTTTCTCAGAGATGGAGTGGGCTGGGGTCCTGAAGCCCTCTTCTGGTGGGGTGGCTTGAGGGAGCACCTCCTCTCATGGAGCGGTCATGGTACGGGCCTAGACTGTCCCCCAGGGAGTCGCCTGTGTGAACAAGCTCAGACCCTCTGTCTGATGCATCCTGTCACCTCACTTGTCCTCACTGGGGTCAGGACGGCAGCACCATTGTATAGGAAGCCCCCAGCCTCTCTGTGATGCGGCTGCCTTGAGAAGCCCCTCCCTCAGTGGCCTAGGCTGGGGTTGTGACCTAAAGGGTGGTGAAGAAGGACGTCTCCAAGTCCAGCTTGACCTTTGAGAACTTTTGACATGACCATTTTGGAATCTGTAACAAACTATCACTTATTGTCCCTCTGCCACCTTACCTGGTGGCATATCCCACAGAATCCAGTTCACCAGAAAGAGACCAAAATGGAGTCAGGGGACAAGAGCAGAGGTGTGGCAATGGCCTACATGGCTTTCCTCCAGCTGGGGAGCTCAGCTTGGCTTGGAGGACAGGGGAGGGTGCCCTGTGGCAGGGTCAGGATGGTGGGGTCACTCACCCACAGTCAGCCGAGGTCAGAGTCCAGGTTCCATTCAGCACTTTTGATTTTAGACACAGTCCCAAGAGGTGGGTTCTGAGAGGCCGAGCTTCAAGTTCAAGGTCACAGGCGTGAACACTGCTGAGCCTGAACATGCCTCAGTCCTTTTCAAAGCCCCAAGGTGCCTCCTTCCATAAGGAAAGCATCAGCTGGTAGGACATTGCTGTTTTGGTCCTTGGGGCACAACAGTGTCTAGAGCACTGCCTGGGACCTGGCACTGCTCAACAACTTTCCTGTGTGGCTGGAAGGAGAGGTGGACGGATGAAGGAAGGAATGGGTGGGTGAAGTATGGATGGACAGTGAGGAAGGGACAGATGGACAGGTGGAATACTGGTGGGCAGGCTGGTGTTGCATGCCTGCAGATGGATGGATAGGTGGATGGAGGGCAGTTAAGAAGGCCACACAAGGGCCCTTGATCCTTCCATATTTGCCTGATTTGGGGTTCCTGACTTGGACTTCTAAACCTGGCCAATAAGTTAGAAGCCACACGTGGTCTTTAATAGAGAGTGGGAGCAGAAGGAGCACCAGCTGTTTGCACAAGCCTCTCCTTGCCTGGTGGAACATGGACAATTAGGGCAGAGGAACTTGTGGTGTACCTAAAACAGCCAGCAGAGACGATGGGGCCACACCTGTCCCTGGGTGCCCCCAGTGCAATGACTGGGCAGCAGGCTGTGCCCACACTCCCTGGCAGTCAAGGCTGGGTCCTCAGGTGCTGTCCCTCTGAGTTATGGTGGAGAAGCATCTCATTTCCTGAGCTTTTAGCACCACCCCTCCACTTCCCCGAGGGATGAGTCCCAGACCACAGTCCCAGGCTGTGACCCCAGTGCACAGCTGATGTCTAGTAGCTTCTCAGACTCGGACTGCCCCAGGATCACCTGGAGAGCCTGCCACAACCTAGGTTCCCACCCCTGCCAGGGGTTCTGTCCCATGGTCCCATGTCCATCTTGCAGGGATGGCTGCTCAAGGCAGGGAGAGTCCTGGGCCTCCTTGTCCAACTTGACCACCCGTCCAACTGTGGTCCAGGGCTGGCCTGTCCATCATGAGAGGAGCAAGGGCTGTCTTCCTACAGTGTGCACTGAGTGTGTTAGCCTATGTGAGCTGGTGTGGACGTCTTCATGTGTGACAGTGTGCATACATGTGTGTTGTGTATGATAGGTGAGTGTAAAAATGTGTGGGAGCAAGAGCACGTGTGACTGTTGGTGTGAAGATGTGTGCATACCTGCATGAGCGAATGACTGTGTCTGCTACGTGATCACGTGTACACACATGTGGGCGTGTCAGTGTGTGTGTACATGTGGGTATGTCAGTGTGTGAGTGTGCAACTTGCACACACGTGTGAGCTGCCTGTGGTTAGAGGCTGTGCCACCTCCCTGCCTTCTGCATTCCTGGAAGACAGAAGAGAGGTCCAAGCCCCCCCACAGAGGACCCTGGTCCTGCCTGGCCGTTCCTTTCCACTGGCCAGAGTTCTGTAAGGTGACCATGGCTTCTGCAAGGGAGGTTGGGAAGTCCATTGTAGCTGGCAGGTTGAAGTCTGAGCAGTGGAGTTCTATCAGCTATACAGGAGGAGGATGTGCACAGGCCCACACCCCAGGACCCCCAGGGAGGGAGAGGGAGGGGAAATCCTGCTGAGCCTCCCTGGGTCCCTCAGTCCAGCCTCTGAGCAGCAGCTGCCCTCCTGGTGGAGACCCAAACTGGCCTCCATCCTGCTTCAGGTCCCTGTGCACACCATCCAACTAGGGGAGGTTTGGAGAGGTCCACCAGGCCCTAAATACCGTGACCACATTCCCAAAGCCACCAGATCAGCCACTCTCATGCCTGGGCAGGTGGCAGAATCCCACGGAGACTGAGCCAAGGAGGCAGAGGGGCTGGTGGTGCCAGTGGGGCCCAGAGACTAGGGATGCGCTGCAGTCTGCTCTGCCCCAGGAGAGCTGCTTGCTGGGGCTGAGGCCGCACACCCCAGGGGAGGCCGGAACAGCAGGGCCTGTGGAGGGTCTGTGTGTCCTGGCGTCAGGTCAGGCTTCCAAAGAAGCATTAGATGAGGGGAGTTTGGCCTCTCCCTCCTCACAGAGGTGTGGGGAGGGTTTGGGGTAGAGGGGCTCGGCCCCCAAGACATTGGGGTCCTGGGACTCTCTGAGCGAGGGTCGGGTCACCTGGTGGCTGAGGAGGTGTCTGACCCTGCCATTTTTAGATCAAGTTAGTTATGTGAGCCCCGTTGAAGGACTTTCTCAAGCACTTGCCGCTCTAGAGACTGAGAGAGCAGGTCTTCACCTGTCTGAAACCCGACTCTTAAAGCTGGCCTCGGGCGAGAGCTGCAGGAGCCTTTCTTTTCTTCTTTGTGTTAAGACTCTCCCGTTGGCAAGGGCTTCTTTCCTGCCTTACTCTCTTTGTGTTGTCTGTAAATGTGAATCGCTCAGAGTTCATTTTTGGGGGCTGGGGATGTGGCTCAAGCGGTAGCGCGCTCGCCTAGAATGCGTGCGGCCCGGGTTCGATCCTCAGCAGCACCACATACCAACAAAGATGTTGTGTCCGCCGAGAACTAAGAAAAAATAAATAAATGTTAAAATTCTCTCTCTCTCTCTGTCCCCCTCTCTCACTCTCTCTTTAAAAAAAAAAAAAAAAAGCCTAAGGCTTAAGACTTTAAAAAAAAAAAAAGAGTTCATTTTTGGCAGAGGAAGAAAATAAACATAAATGGGGTGTATCCCAGGGACTTGGATTTAACAAGAAAAACAAGGGGGGACATGGCCCTAACCTGGGTAGGACTGGGCCAGGCACAGCCCAGCAGCAAACTGCAAAGTAGAGTTCCTGGGGGCACCAGGGCCTTGTCCCCTGCTGACCTCGGCCCTGAGGTGGGAGCTGCCCTCTGCAGGCACTTCTGTTCCTGTGGGTCCAGTGCCTGGGGGGCTTCTCTTCTGCTGCTCTCTCTGCTCCTGAAACACATGGCTGCCTGCAATTGGGGTGGGGGTCCCCATGACTCCTGTGTTCTGAGAGCTGAGTTTTCCGGCCTGGGCGCCCACCTGACCCCTGGCTCCTGGAGCTGGCAGGACCAGGGATGGTTCTGAAGTCACGGGCTGGATGGCATGTTGGCTGACAGCCCATGGCCTGTCCAGGAAGCTCTAGTCTGCAGGTGGTGGGGAGGCAAGGGCAGGCCAGCTCACCTCCGGTGTGAACAGGGGGGTCCTGGTGGGCCCCAGGGCCAGGAAGTCTGGGGAGGCCAATCGCCCGCTTGCCTGTTGTGTTGCTTGGGGTGGGTCCCTGTGCCCATGACATGGCAGCAGAGATAGCTCACAGGGTGCCAGGACTAAATGACTTCATTCACATCAATCACTCAGAGCAGAACCGCTCAGAGCCAGTGGGTGCTGAAGGAGGACTGTCGCCTTCTCTAGGGGCTTCTGAGGCCCTGCCTGGGGACTGGCGAGGTATGGGCCCTGGCACACCCTGCTCTGGTGTATCCAGGGGAGAGATGGAGCACTGGGTGGATAAGGGGAGAGCATCAAAGAAGGAGCGGTGGTGAGGCTGAAGCGAGGTCCTAGGAGCCATGTTCTCTTGCTGGGATGTCATATTGTGCCTTGGGCTGAAGGTCTTTTCAGGCGATTGAATGTTCACACGCAGTCCTTGGGAACACTGCAGACTCCTCCTTCCACACCCCTGGTTTCTCCCAGGGAAATACCTTAAATTCTGGAGTGCGGCCAGAGCGGATGTCCTCGCCCACAGAGTGGGTCCACTGCCAGACCCTGGGCGTCCTCTGCGCTGATTTCTTTGTGTGTTGCTGCGCAGTCTCTGTCACATGTCGATTCCCGTGACCAAAATCAGGACATGGAACAGCTGCCTTTGGAGGACCCCTGTGCCTCCTTCTCATCGTTCTGTGGTTTTGGCCACTGCATGCAGGGCAAGGGACTTTGAGTGTCACAGAGGCACGTTCGGGTCCCTTCTTTCCACATGGGTGTCTAGTTGTCTCAGTGCCACCTTTTGAGCAGGCGAGTCTTCCTACACATAACCATCCCTTGACAGTCAGCCGACCATGCGCTGGGGCTTGTTCTGGACCCAGTTTCCGTCAGGTCTGTGTGTCTGTGTCGGTGCAGTGGGCTCCTGACCGCTGCAGTGGTTTGGTGGCTTCCATGGAGCACAGCGGGAGCCTCTTCAGCTCCCCCTGTGTTTCAGACTTTTTAGAAAGAGGGCTTTCTCTCCCCTTTCTTCTTAGTCTAGACAAACAGACTGTCAGTTTTGTGGCTGCCTTAGCCGTGTCGGGCTGCATAACAGGCTGCCGCAGACTCGGGGGTTACAAGGGAAGGAGGTGTGCTTCCTACCGTTCTGGCAGCTGGAGCCCAAGGTTGAGGGGTCTTCACCCTGGTGAGGGCCCTTCTGTCCTGCTTGGCACAGATTGAGAAGGGCAAGACAGGGCTGGACTGGCTTTTAGTGCAAACCTGCCCTGTGACTGTGGACCACTCCCTATTAAGGTCAGTCGGTCAGCCCTCTAAGGGGCCACGTCCCTAGGCCCCTCCCAACACTGTTGCCTCTGGGAGTAAGTTTCTAACAGGGGAGCCCTGGGGACACTTTCAAGCCCCACAGTCAGTCATTCTTCCCAAAGAAATGATGTTTTGCTTCCATCTGAGGATCAGCTTGTTAATTTGTGCAAAACAACCAGCCAAACAAGAACAAAAAACACAATCAAGAACAGCCACCCAAACAAAAGGAAGTGGAAACTTAATGGGGATTGAGTTGAATCCTAGATCAGTTCAGAGAGCGTGGCCACTGTGAAGGTACCCTGTCTTCCAACCTGTGAACCGCCCCATCACACTGACCTGTCCGTTCATTTCTTTCAACATCTTTAATAGTCATCCTCAGTGTTCATTACTAATCATTTTACTGTAATCAGTGCTATGTAATGGAGTTAATTGCTGTCTTAATTTCATTTTGAGGTTGTTCACTGCTAGTATATAGAAATACAATTCTCATTAGCTATTATATAACACATTTCAAAACATTATACTGTATGTGATAAATAACTACAGTTCTTAATTTATCATTAAAATTTAAAAACATATTTTTTAAAAAGTTGAGTCTGTATCTTATAAACTTGATGTTCTCATTTGTCAATCATAATAGTTTTTTTAGTGTATTTCTTAGGATTTTCTACATTCAAGATCATCCATCTGCAGACAGAAGCGGGTTTACTTATTACCTTATAGTCCAGGTGAGTTTTAGTTTTCTCCTGAGCCTCGTGTCCCTGGTTGGGCCTGGTACAGCATCAAAGGCAGAAGTGAGTGTTAGATCGGTGGTGGCGACTTGGTGGTGACTTAAAACAAAGCAGCCCGCGTGGGAAAGGAACATCAATCAGGTGCCGGTGGAAACGCCTGTCAATCAGCAGGACCCCCTGGCCAATCCTGGAGTTCAGCCAACTCCCCTGACCAATTCCAAAGGGACAAGGGAACCCTACAAACACCTTTTCCTGTCCCAATCCCTTCCCTTCCTGCTATAAGCCCCATAAAAGTCCAGTCTGGCCGAGCTTCCACGTGGTTTCTCCTCAGACCCTTCTTCCGTCCACTCTGTGGGTCTGATCGAGTTCCACCCAGGAGTGATATCTCAATAAAGCCTCGTTCGGCGGCCCTTTTAAATCTGCCTCCTTTGGTCACTGCTCCTCTCGCCTGATCTGACAGTGAGAGCAGGTAATGCTTCTCCCTGGCTCTCGGAGGGAGCTCCTGTCTTCCCCACCAAGTGTGGCACCAGTTTTGAGTTGTGCACAGATGCCCTTTATCCACTGGGGACATTCTTTTCTGTCCAAACTGTGTCAAGAGTGATACCAGTGTTGAGGATCAGGGCTGAGTCCTGTTCCCCTGTGTTGAAGATTGAACCCTTGAGAAGTACTGAGGCAAGAACAAAAAGTTTTATTTAAAGGATAGAAGAGAGAGAGAGAGAGAGAGAGAGAGAGAGAGAGAGAGAGAGAGAAAGAGAGAGAGAGAGAGAAAGAGAGAGAGGGGAGAGGTCCGGGCTGCAGAGGAGGGGTCCGGGCTGACACCCGAGGAAGTGAGGGTATCCTGCCCCTTTTATACATTTTAGATTTCCTTTGTTCTCATGCCCCCACCTCCTCTCATCTTGACCCAAAAGGTGGAGAGATCCAGGGTCTGGAAAGAAGCCGCCCAGGGGGACAGCAGGAACCATCCTCGGGAGGCAGGAAACCCTGGCCACAGGCTGGAGAAGGGGAAGTGTCCTGAAGGTATCAACATTCGATTTCCTTCCCTTTGGAACCAGCCCTCATCTTCCCCGTCCCACCTGATCAACTATCCCCTACATCTCACACCCCACTCCTCAAAAGGTGGTGGATTTTTGTTAAAGATTTTCTCTACATCTTTCGGGATTGAACTGTTCTTTTGTCCTTTACTCCGTGGACGTAGCGTAATGAGCTGATTGGTTTTCAGAGGCTAAACCGACCTCCTTCCTGAACAAGCCCCTCTTTGTCAGGGGTGTGAGGCCCTTTTCTGTGTTGCTGGATAGTTTGCTGGTGTGAAGGGGTTTTGCATCTGCATTCACAGAGGGTATCAATTTGTAGTTTTCTTGTGATTTTTTGTTTGGTTTTAATATCAGGTAACCATGGCTTCAGGCAATGAGTTGGGACTGTTCCTTTCTCTTCTGTTTATTGAAAGCATTTGTGAAGGATTTGTGTTAATTCTTCTTTAAATATTTGGTAGCATTCCCTAGCAAAGGACGCTGGGCTGTTTTTTTTCCCCATGGGAAGTTTTAAGTTACTGATCCAATCTCTTTATTTGTTCATATCCTCTACTTCTTGAGCCAGTTCCAGTAGGTTGTGTTTCTAGGAATCTGTCCACTTTATCTACGTTGTCTAATTAGCATACAATCATTCACAGTATTGCCTTATAATTCTGCTGTTATTTTTGCAGGACCAGCAGTGGTCTTTTGTTCCTGACTTTGGTAACTGGAGCCTTCTCTTTTCCCTTTCTCAGGCTCGCTAAATGTGATAGTTTTTGGTCTTTTCAAGGAACCAACTTTGGTGCCATGGGCTTTCCCCGCTGTGTTCTCGGTCTCTGATCCGCTTGTTTGTGTCTGACTTCTCTGTTCGCCTCCATCTGCCTGTGTGGCTTCAGCTTGCTGTTTCCTGGTGTCCTGAGGGGCGATGGCCTGCTGTTGATCCTTTCCCACCCAGGCGCTTCCTCTGTGCTCTGCAGGCGGTGTGTTTGCTGAGCCACCAGGCTTTGTTGTGTTGTGCTTTCATTGGTGTTCAAAGTACTTCCTAATTTCCTCGTGAATTTTTATTGCTTTGTTGGTTATTTAGAAATGTATTTATGAATTTCTGTGTTTTGGAAGTTTCCTTCTGCTGTTAATGTCTAACTTAATTCCATTTTTATTGGAGAGCACACTGTTTGATTTTAATACTTTCAAACTGGTTGAATCACGGCCAGTTGTGGAGAAGTTTCCATTTTCCTAGACAGGGATATCTAACTTGTGCTGACTCCCTGGGATTTACTGCAGCTGGTACCAGCATAGCTTTAGGATGATGCCGAGATGTCCCTTTTGTGGCTGTCTTCCCTTCCTCCCACCTGGTGCTGTGGGTGTTTTACGTATCACACCTGGACAGGCTGCATTCCTCGGGACACTTTGTACAGCTTTTAGTTCATATAATTTTATGTTTTTAAATAAGTCAAGATAAGAAGAAGAGCAAGTGTGTCTGCAAGTCTGTCAAACGGACCTTTCCGCCTCCTCTTCCTGGCGCACTTTATTGCTGTGTAGTAGATTGCCATCTGCTGTCATTTTCTTAATCCAGTGCTGCTTTGTTCCCATCTGCTTCTTTTGTGATGTTACATTTAGATACATTATAGCCCCAACAATGCAATTACATATCTATTGAGTCCCATAATTGCTTTTGAAATGAGCTAAGAGAAGGAAGGAGAGCTATGCATCACACTGCCTGTTAGCAACTCGCTCTCAGTTTTCACTTCCTCTTGGTTTTATAAAGAATATTTTACTGAACGTGACTGCTGTGTCTTTGGCATTTTGTGCTGTCCCACGGCCTCTGGCCCCTCTGGTTTCCTGTGACAAAGCGAGTATTAGTGTCACTGGGCATCCCTTGTGCGTGACGAGTCACCCTGCTGCTGGGAGATTCTCTCTTTGCCTCTTGGCAGCTGGACAATAACAATGCTGTGCACACTTGCAGCTTCGTGGATGGATGGATTAGTGCTTCTCATCAAATTGGGGCCATGTTTAGAGTTTCTTCCAGTGTTTGTTTTGCCCCGTCTCTCTTTGACGGGGGTTGCCAGTGAGTGTGTGTTGGTCTCCACGTCGTCTCTGGGGCTCTGGGGCTGGGCTCACTTCCACCTACTCTTTGGTCTCTGTTCCCTGGACTCCACAGTGGCACTCGGACTCCCTTCACATCCACAGGACGTTTCTTCTTCCCGCTCACATTTGTTATTGAGCTTGTCTATCGAATGTTTTATTCAGTCCTTTTCAACTTCAGAATTTGTTTTGATCTTTAAAATTTTCTCCTAATTGTAATATTTTATATTTGGTGAGACGGTGCTTTGACATTTTCGGTGAATGCTGTAGATATGGCTTCTTTGCATTCTTGGAACATGTCTATAATTGCTGACTAAAAAATGGTCCAGAAACTTCCTCGGACCTCTTGCAGGGACAGGTCCCCTGATTGCTCTCTGTGTGTGCATGCGTAAATGGGCCACTGTCCCTGGCTCTTTGGATATCTTATTTTTTCCTTCAAAACTGGACGTTTTAAATCATATATAATTTATTTAAATGACCAAGAACTATGTCTGAAGTAGTTTCTGCCCTTCAGTGTTTGCTGCTTGGGCTGTTTGTTCTCATTGTTTCCTTGCTTTGTTGTTTTCCTGGACTAACTCTATTTAGTTCATTTTCTTTTTTTGAATAAAGACCCTGAGTTCTGCTTGGTCAGGATGGTGGTTAGTTAGTGACTGGATGGAGGTTTCTTCAAGTGCCCTGAAACCATCATTCTATGGACTTTGCTGAGGGGCTGTGTGATGGGCAGGCAGCTAAGATCGGGCCTTCGTGCTCCTCCATGCTAGCAGACTCAAGGCCAGCCAGAGGGGAGCCTTGGGGCTTCCCTGGGCACCTGCTCTGCACCCCCCAGTTCCAAGTTCCCAGGAGCAGGTGGCTTTGTAGACCCTCACGAGGACATCACGTTCCATCTCAGGTTCACTTCCTGCTCCAAGCCCACTCCGTCCTCCCTGGGGGACCACTGCCCTGGCATCCTGCCACCTGGCACCATGCTCTGCGTCCCGTGTGCCCAGCTCAGCAGTTTAACTTGGGGTTTGCCTCAGTATGACGTGAAATGACGACCGCACTCCATGAGTGACGCAGGCATAAACGTTGAAGGTTAACTGGGTGAATGTAATGAGACGAGTCTTCACAGGCAAATTCTGATGTAAATAAACATGTAAAGTCACATCAAATTGTGGTGTCACTCATGAAACATCTGAATCACTTTAAGTGGATTAAAATCTAAGACACCAGCCAGTCTGCGAGATGTGTGTTGATGAAAAGCTGGTCAGCAGTCCTTGCTGGTCCCTTCCTGGTTTTTTTTTTGTTTTAAAAAATATATTTTTAGTTTAGATGGACACAATATCTTTCTTTTATTTATTTTTATGTGGTGCTGAGGATGGAATCCAGGGCCTCATGTGTGCGAGGTAAGCTCTATCACTGAGCCCCAGCCCTGGCCCATTACCTGGGTTTTCTTCACCAGAAAGTAAGGTTACTGAAAGTAACCTTAAAGTAAGCTTCTAGTCAGTACTCCTAATTTTTCACATATAAAAAAACCCCCAAATTTAAGATGTGTTTCTGGTGAGAAGAACTGTAAGAAAGGCAAAAATATATATAAAAAAATGTTATGTGGTAAAATAAGAATTTTGTCCTGAAATAAAGTGACTAGATTATTCCATAATAATAATAATAATACAATGATAAAATATACAGGACAAAACTAAAGGGCTAAAGCAAATCATGATAAGAAGCTTATAAAAGACGAATCTCATAAAATCGCACGTGGTTGCTGGTCCAACACGAGGAGAGGTCCGGTTCTGACTGTGATGCCAGAGTCTGCCTCTCCAGGCCTCTGGAGATGTTGGCCTAAGATGCTGTCCCCAGCTCCTCCTGGTGGTTGGGTATGTCATCTGCTGTCACTGTCCCTGCAAGACGTGTGCCTTGCGGAGGAGGCAATCTTTGTCAGGTCTGCTTCTGGGCCCTGGGAAGGGCTCCCCCACCCCAGGGCTGCCCAGCAGGGTGCAGAGTGCACACCCTTACCTCCCAGTGGCCACCCCACCCAGGCGATTTCCCCCTCGTGTTGTCATGTTGTCTTCTCTGGGATTTTGATTACTTAGCAAAACTGAGGCTGTCATCTGGCTCAAGAGCAACTTCCAAGATGGTGGCCTGCGTCCTATTTTGAGCACATGTCTTAGCACTGTTGACACCTTGGACAGGCTCCCCAGGGCAAGGCTCTGAGTTAAGTCCTGGAAGACCCTGAGGGATGAATCTCTCATCTACAGAGACAAAAATGAGCCGGGGAATGCTGGGAAGGTTGAATTGCATGTTGAGCAGATCCAGCCGTGAGAGGCACCCAGACCTTTCATTATGGGAATACATTCAGATGGAATATTCTAGAGAGGTCATGAAATTTACAGAAGCATGAGGGTTCTGGTTCGACACTCTCTGCTGAGATTCCAGGCACCTTAAGATGCTGCGTGCAGGGCTGGGGATGTGGCTCAAGCGGTAGCGCGCTCACCTGGCATGTGTGTGGCCCGGGTTCGATCCTCAGCACCACATACAAAAACAACAACAACAAAAAAACAAAAGATGTTGTGTCCGCCAATAACTAAAAAATAAATATTAAAATTCTCTCTCTCTCTTTAAAAAAAAGGATGCTGCGTGCAGCTCGGTGACTGCGTGTTCTTGTTAATCGCTGGACTCATCAGAATTCTAGCCACGGTGTTCTCATCTGTCAGCCGCAGCTTTGATTCTCTTTTGCAATTAGATTCGTAAAAGCCTCAAAAACACACTTGGACATAGGCGTCCATAGCCCTGATGCTGATGGCTGATGACAAATTGCAGAGCCCCTCCTTCCACAGGGCACTCTCAGGAGACGCGCTGTGCACCTGTAATCTGCAGTCTGGTGACTTTGGCTGTTGGGAAGGACAAGTACATGAAGACCTCCACCTGCCCCTTTGGTCCCTCTCACCAGCCACCGTACTGCCATGTTCAAAGACATTGGTGCCTGGATCCCATCTTAAAAACATCCCCACCCCTGACTGAACCAGCAGGTGACTTAACACAATCCCCACATTGAAGCAAGTGACATTTGTCAGCCTGCCATGCCGAGATCCTGGACCAGCCCAGTAAGTACTTTTCCTTTTCTTATTAGTCTCTGCCATGTTTTCTTGGAAAGGCGTCCATTAGCTCACATTCCCAACCTACTGCCAGACGGGAACCTTAACCCACTGCTGGATTGCAACCTCCCCCCCACCACAGGTCCATCCTGGGTCCAGGAGATACCCCAGTTTACCTTCAAAGATGGTTGATCCGTGGTTCTATCAGGAAGATTCTGATTAAAAAGAGAAATGTAAAGATTCAAATTCAAAATTCAAATTCAAATTCACACCCGCTCACTGGAGCTGAGGGGCCCTGGGATGCAGGGAAAGCACTCAGGCCAGGGACTTCTCCAGGATCTCTCAGAACAGCCCATTGCCTTGCCTTTAGCACTATTTCAACTCAGCAATTGTGATTTTTTTTTTTTTAAAGAGAGAGTGAGAGAGGAGAGAGAGAGAGAGAATTTCTAATATTTATTTTTTAGTTCTCGGCGGACACAACATCTTTGTTGGTATGTGGTGCTGAGGATCGAACCCGGGCCGCATGCATGCCAGGTGAGCACGCTACCGCTTGAGCCACATCTCCAGCCCCAGCAATTGGGATCTTAAGATGGCTCTGTGTAGTGGCGGCTGCCCAAACTCCTGCAAGCACGAGTGCACCTTCCTTCACGGCAACGTATGTGCGTTTCTGTCTCATAAAACTCCAGCCTTCCCTTTGTTCTACAGACACACCGGAGGCCATCCAAACCTATGCATGTGTCCCAGATTGCAATCCTACTCTTCGCTCGTTCCCAGATACTATTCCCTTCATGGAATCCTCTCTATTTCTGTTTGGCTCTGGCAAGGCTACACCCAGAGCTCCAGCTTTGCTGAGACCTGTTTAGGTGCGATGCAGTGACACTCTGTTTCCAAACCCCACAGCTGACGTCAAGTGCAAAAGGGGATATCTGTAGACAGATGGCAGAGCAGATAACAGCCACCTCTTAGGTTTCTTTATTCAATGTGGATGATCATTTTCTTGGAGGAGCGCCCTGAAATCCCCTCTGAGAGGCCCCTCAGAGTAAGGTCCTGGAAATCACACTGGGTATGCCCTGAGGTTCCCACGGCCTCCACCCACCTCTCCCCCTCCCACTGGGCCCGTAGTTACTGGAGTTGGCGGTACTGTGGCCCGGCCTCTGATGGAGAATTGGGTCTCCCCTGTCAGCTCAGTAGTGACCTGCAGCGTGGTGTCCTCAGGCCTCACCCTGACATGTGGGTAGTCAAGGGACACATGTGTGCTCAGGTGTGGCCGGAGGTGATGCACACTATGGACCCACGGGCACAGAGCTTCACATGCCACATGCCACACACAAAGTGTGCACACCATACACCACCCAGCCCGCAGCAGCAGCGCCTGCAGTGGACTGAGCTGGAGCATTCAGAACTTGTCCCTGTCTCTGAAGGAGCTGCAGGAGGACAAGGGGAAGGGCGGTGGCCTTGTCACCACCGTCTGGTTGCGTGAGATGCCAGATCTTAACGTTTGGTTCCTCTGGAGACTGAAAGGCTGGGCGCCAGGGACTCCACTCCTTCCTGACAGTGCTTGGCTGTGACTGAGCACTGATGTCACCAGCACGGCCTCTGCAGGACAGTGAGCGTGTGGCCTCGACACAAGTGCTCAGCACAACGCCAGGCGGCTCTGTCAGTCCTGCACCTCCACTTACCTTCCTGTCGGCTTCCCCCCACTGTGTCAGGAGCCTGGGAACTGCATCCTCCATCCCTGCTGGGCTCACTGGCCTTGGATGTAAGATGGTCTGCAGGCAGCAGGCCCTCGTGGCCTCTGCCATTAATTGAGAAGGAGCTGGGGGAGCTATGCTGCAGGTGGAGCCCTTGGAAGCAGAGGTTTCTTCCTTTGGACTTCACCCTGGCCATGCACCAATCCTCAAGAAGCCCGAAGTGGGAGAGTGGTGACAAATGGCACCTGCTAGTGACTTTCCCTGGGATGCCAAGCCCTGTACTTGGCATCCCAGGGAAAGGGGGTGTGCGCTGAGCAGGTGTGAAAGGCAAGTGCCCATTCCTGAAAGCCCAAGAAGAAGCCAGAGAGATGCACCGTGCAGCAGACATGCACCCCAGACCCACTCAGACGTGAAGAGGTGGGTTCACTTTATTTTTCCTGCGCTGGAGCCAAATGTCTTTTAGGAGCTCAAGTGGAAAAGGGGGTGGGCTCGATCACAGGCATTTAGCTCCTTTCTCCTCCAAGGCTGCATCTCAGTTCCAGGAGGATTTGCTTTATCATGTCAAAATCAGTCTGAGAGGCTGGGATGTGCTGCAGTAACAAGTAACCCCACTGTCTTCCCCTCACTCACACCTCGTGCCCCTCAGGGGTGTTCAGGAGCTCCGCCGCTTTAGGTGAAGATGCAATTCCCAAATTCTGCACATGATCTTGGCGGCAGAGAGAAAGTGGCTGGGATTGGGTGGGTGAACAACAATAAGTATTATTATTCAAATAAGCTTCACATATTGCGTGTCTTTTTTAACACAGACAGCCACATCTCACTAATTTTTACAGCCAAATTTCTACAGCGAGAACATGGGAGCCCAGAGTGGCTCAGCCAGTTCTGTTTTGGTCTAGCTATGAGGTACCCCAAGGCTCATGTGAGACAACACAGGAAGTTGAGAGGTGAAACGATTGGCTTCTGAAGCCTTAACCTGATCAGGGCGTTCATCCCCTGATGGGGACAAACTGGGTGGTGACCATGGCTGGAGGAGGTGGGTCAATGGGGGCATGCCCTTGGGGCTTGTATTCAGTCTTTTTGAGTGGGGCTCTCTCTCTGCTTCCTCACCGCCATGTCCTAAGCAGCTTCCTTCCACTACACTCCGGCTATGATGCTCTGCCTCACCCCAGCCCAGAGCAATGGAGTTGGCTATCTATGGACGGAACCTCTGAAATTGTGAGCCAAGTCAACTTGTCCTCCTTTAATTGTTCTTGTTGGGTCTTTTGGTTGCAGTGGTGAAAAGGCTGACTAACACAAGTTCCCTGAGGTGACACAGCTGACACTGGTCTAGGGTGACCTTAGGGGTGGCACCATATGTCCTTGGTCCCCAAAGCCAAGGCTTACTCATCATCTTCTCTGTGCTGCAGCCACTCTCCTCGGTCTCCCACTTGTGATCTTTCCTTTCTACCCACTGCCCCACCATTCTTGTAACTCCTATGGCTTGCTTCAGAGAAAGGAGATGGTGGGTTTGCCCCTCTTCTGACAGGCCCTCTGGTTCCCTGGTTTGGCTTCTCTGAACACAGGGGACAGTGTAGGGGAAGAAGTGGCAGAGGGGCCTCCAGGAAGCCTTGGAGATCTTAGGAAACATGCAGCCATGAGAGCAGGAGAGCCTCTAAGTGCACTGCTTCCTAGTGATGGGCATTTGGGCCACTTCTGCTGTTTGGCTGCTCCTGTTGATGCAGCTGAGAATACCCTGAACCTGAACTGTGTATATGTACAGTACTTTTGAAAAAATTTCTAGCACAGCTTCTGGTCCTCAGTGAGTCCTTGATAAATATGCATAAGTTTATCTAAATCCAGCTGTGATCAGCAGGGTCACACATAGTTATTCATTCTAGATGCACCTATATGCTCCTTATCCTTACCCATCACCAATACCATAATCACCACCATCACCACCACCACCACCATCATCATCACCATCATTACAACGATGCCATCACCATCATCATCATTATAATCACTATCTCCACCATTACCATCATCACCGTCATTGCCATCATCATTATAATCACCATTACCATCATCATCACTATCATCAATATAATCACCATCTCCAACATCATCACCATCACCATCATTACCATTATCACCATCATCATCACTACTATCATCACAATAACCACTACCACCATCACCATCACCATCACCACCATCATCATCACCATCATCACATTCACCACCATCACCACCACCACCATCACTATCACCACCATCATTACCATCTCCACCATCACCACCATCACCATCATCACCATCATTACAACTATAGCATCACCACCATCATCATTATAATCACCATCTCCACCATCATAATCACTACCATCATCACCATCATCATTATCATCACTGTCTCTACTATCACCATCACCATCATCATACAATCATCATCACCATCATCACCACCATCATCATCTCCAACATTAACATCTATTAGGCATTTGAGTCTTGAAGGTGCTGGATTAATAACTGTGTGCCTTGTCTTATTTGATCTTTGCAATAATCACTTGTTAAATGAATGTATCTGTCAACCTTCCAATCATTGATAGGAATCCTAAGATTGGCTCAATTTTCTTACATTCTATGTATGTGATACCAATTCTTCCTCCTACACCATCTCTTTTCTTACATTTGCTGATTACTCATGTTTAAGCAAGAATGACAAGTTGCTTATTTAGTTCTCACTGTACCTTCTGGGGTAGGGACAGCTGTCATCCTTACTTTATGAATGTGGCAGCTGAGCCTAGGTGAACTCACTTAGCCAGCACCACCTAGCTCTGGAAGCAGATACAGGATCGTGCCACTGCCTCCTGGCACCCAGGCTGCTGCACTGAGCTGGGGGTTCATTCTTATCCAGTTCATCCCCCCAAGTATTTGGAAACCAACACCTGGAAGAGAGTGGGCGAGTTAATGGTCCACGAGCCCCAGTGTGGAGGACTTCCCTTGTGGCCTGTGCTTTCAGTAGCCCGTGGCTGGAGCCAGCAATGTGTGGGCTGCAGGCAGACACTGATGTGTACACAGCTGGCCTGCTACCCACCAGCTCAGCTCCAGTTCAGACACGTTGGCATTGTGCCAGGAAGCTTTGCATTTCCTTCTTCCCTTTACTACAGTTTCATATTTTTAACCCATGTGGGACTCCAGAGGGTTTAAAATTGTTCTTGCCTCAAAGGATGGATGGTGTTCTAGACAGAAGGCAGAGGAGAATGACTTCCAGGAAAGGGTGGAGAGAGAGCTACAGTGAAGGCTCAGGCTGATTCCTGTAAGAATTCTCATTTTGCCACACAGCCGCTGTCGGAGTGTGTGGCTCTGTCCTTCCCCTGTCTGTCCTCTGTCCCTGATGCCTTGGAAATCCCCCAAACTCAATCTCCAGAGAGGGTTGGATGCAAAAACTCTGCAGGAACCAAACTCATTAGCTCAGCAAGGGCCCAATGTCAATCAGGTGAGGAAAGGACACCAACTAAGCTCCGCTCTCCTGCTCAGCTCTGGGACAGAGGTCGCTGTGCTCTCAGAGGTTACTCATAGAATTTCCAAAAGTCATGCTGCATGCCTGGAGTCCCGAGCTCATGATGGCACTCAGGGGCCACGTTCCCCAAGAGCAGGGTGGACCTAAGCTTCCTCTTGGGGAGGAAGCTTGCAGTCTCCACTCTGCACCTGCTCTGGAACTGCCCTGTACCTTGGCTATGGCTGCAGAGGCACATCCACCCTGGACTCCCTCCTGAGTCCTCCTCCTGCCATCAAGCTGGGGAAGTTATTTGTCAAGTTAGTTATTAATGATTTCCTGAGATGAGGTCACATCAGTTCATTGAACTGGCAAGGCACTCGTTAATCATGCTGTTGTTAAAAGCAATGTAACATTGAAAATGTTTTCCTTTAAGCATAGAGAAAAGCTGCCCAACTTTTGTAAAACAGGACTGCAACCGTGCATGGCTGCTGAAAACATAGTCCCAGAGGGCAGAGCACTGCATGACGTTATCCTGCTACTTGATGTTATCCTGCTTTGGTGCAAGCGTATTGGAAACAATGTCTCCTCTGTTCTGCAGACTCCTGCAATACAGTCATGCTGAGTTGCAGTTAGAGCAAGTAGGTTTCCGAGTCAGGAAAGTCCCTTCCAGGCTCATTTTCTATGTGATCGATCCAATCTGACCTCAGGAGGTTGCCTGGAGCTGACCCCAGGCCCCCAGTGCCAGTTTGGGGAGGGTGGTCTGCCGCCAGGAGCACCTTCCCTTCTTCTCCTCCTCCCCCCCACCCACAGGGGCTGTCTCCCTCAGGGTGAGCAAGGGTAAGCTGTGAGCGGCAACTATCTGCAGGGCTAATACGAACAGCCTCTGTGGTTTCTGTGTCCCCCTCCGTAGTCAGGAATCTGAGAAAGGCGGTTTCCTGCTCAGAAGTCCGTACTCTTGATCACACTCTTTGGGCTGAGGCTCAGGGGGAGAAACAGGGAAATGGTCCTTCCTTCGCTGTTTCTCTACCTCATTCCCTGCAGAGGGGACATAGACTCTGGGCAGGGTGCTCCTCTCTCTGAGCAGCTGGAAATGCGTGGTTTGCAGAAACAGAATTAGATTCTGAACTGCCTCAAAATGCACTCTTGCTCATGGAGTGGGAGAGCGTTTCTGCTAGGCTCCAGAACAAGCTCTCATGGCAGTACAGGGGGTGCTGTGGCCCCCGCATTCCTGTTTGAGATCCGTAAGTCATGTGGACACATGAGACCTTCTAAGCTATGGGGTCCTCTGGAAGAGAGAGGGTTGCTGTGGTTTCCCAGACCCTTGAGCCCTTTCTTTGTGAAATGACCAGAAACTCTGGGAAAATTTTTGGCAAGTTCTAAAAGCTTTCGTCCTTGTATGTGAGTTTCCTTCCAACCCCTAATTCCTAAGGCACACTCACCTGGCTCTGAGAGGTGTCAGTTATTCTGTCTTAACTCAATCTCAAGTGCACAGACATAAATCAAAGCAGCTTTTATAGAAACTAGAATTGACAGATTCAGATAATAACATACAGTGAGGCGTAGGCCACCCCGAGGTCTGATGTCCCCTTTTGTGCCTTGGTTGGGCCCAAGACAGCTGCCTGGATCTGAGTCTCACTAACACATGCATCTCTGCAGGGTCCCGGAATTCTTCCAACAGTTCCAATCAAACACCCAGGATGGGCTCAGGGTTTCACCCAAATTGCACATCCACCTGAGTCTATGTCCAGCTATTCGATGGGACTGTCAGCTAAGCCTAGAGCATAGGCTCCAGCCCCTGACCCACAGAACACAGCCATGGAGCACAAGGAGGACACTGCAGGCTCGGCACAAGGATGGTGGTGAGCAGGCATAGTGGCGTGCAGATGCTGGTCGTCTCGTCTTTTCCAGTGTTCCTGCTCAGGCTAAGGACCAGCTAAGGGCCTCCTCCAATTCTGAGGGCCTCTCCTGGCCCAGGCTGTTCTGCCCTTAGGCATGTCATTTCCTCATCATTGACGCAGTGCGTACTGCGGGTGTGTAGTGTCCACCTGGGTGGATGCTAAGCTCCAGAGAGCTAGGTCTTACTCTCATTGGCTCTGTGGCCTGCTCCTGGCCAGCTGTGCTGCACCTGAGTTTAGCTCATGCTAACAGGACAGGAGAAATGACGGACAGGAAACAGGAGAGAAAGCAGCAGAGTTTTCTGTTTGGAACTTTTTGCTCTCTCTTTGGGTGGGGTGAATATCATCTAC